TGGGGGGGGGGGCACTGCAGCACTGATGTTTCCTGACCATAAAATCGAAAATGATTTAGCAGAGATGGTGAAGTATGAATGTAGCAGATTGTCTTTGTGTGTGTGTGTGTGTGTGTAGGTCCCGATGACCTACATATTGTTTCCATAAGTTCATATGAAAAGCAGAACCCAACAGCCCCAAAATTAGAGACCTGAACAAGAATCCTTTCAACTTTCAGCTCATGCTGTGTTCGGCCCATTAAAACCCCAAAATCCTCTTAAATAACAGTTTGCAGTTTTTCATTGATTCGTCTTGTGCAGACTGAAGGAAATAAGAGAAAAAGAGTTATGTCTACATTAAAGTATTGCCTCTGCACCTTATATTTAATGGCCAAGGCTGCTGTTCCAGTCAGCTTTGTCCAAATCCCCACTGATGAAGGCCTGTGTGCGTGGGAACGTGAACGCTGGCTGAACAGGCTGCTGTCGCTGCTGTGAGGGCTGTAAAGCCAGGGGAAATTAAAGTCATCTTATATAACCCACACCCTTAAAACTCAGATACACGCAGTCCCAGAGTTGTTACAGAGGGGGCAGACTGGACGTCCAAAAACGTTCTCCAGCTTTAATCTGGGATTCTCTATGAATGAAGCTTCCCACAGCCTGTTGTTAAATTTAGCATCTCTTCTGCTTTTCCAGCACATGCACAGTTGGTGCCAGTCACAACAAACTGGGAGGGGGGCAGATGTCCTCTCATATGTCATCTGATGATGAAATTTACATCACTCTGACCCCGGTGGGCCCTCACATTCCTCAATGTTGTCTTTTCTGCATGCAGTGAGCATTCCTCAGCTTCTAATCCACAGAGATGAGCACGAAATCCATCTGGAAACAAACAAAGCATGTTCCGGGTGTCTCTGTAACAGCCCGGAGACCTGGAGCACACGATGACCTGACAAATTTGGGCCATGGGTTCTGGGTGTTTGGATGTTTCAATGTTTTATTTAGATTCTCGCTGATGATTTGTCTTTTGTCTTCAGATCTCCAGACTATCTTGTTTTTACATGTTATTTTAGTCTCTGCTGGGATATCAGAGCCCTCACATTCTAATTATAACAACTCCAAACTGTGTCTATCTACAGTACAATTAGATTTTCCTTTTCTCCCTGTGAAGCATGGCACAGGATTTTTCACCTTTCCTCCCCATCATCAGGAAAAACATGAGCTCTGACACCTTCTCTTCTCTCTTGCGCTTTCACAGTCCGTATTTAAATAGAAATCTTCAAAGAGCAGCAGGTTGGACAGAAAAATCAGCATGCCTCTACAATGTGTGTGTGTTTTCTTTCTGCTGTGTCACAGTGGGCATTACAGAAATAAACACATACACATATACACACACACACACACACACACACAAACAGTACCACACTAGGAAGCGTTTCTCACCAACAAACACACACACGGACAAATGCCCCCTTAATTGATGCACACTGCAAGTTCACTGGTGCACACACACACAATTTAACATCAATACACAGAGGAAGACACACCCTGTCTGTTCTGCCATCATCAGGCAGCATGTTAATGGGGTGTTAATTAATAATAAATGAGGAGGGGATTAAGCTCAGACTCACTGTGTCCCATCACTGCAATGACACGCAACTTCCTAAAAACTGCAGTAGCCTTATGGGTGTGTCATACCAACACAAAGACATGTGCTTCATCAAACAGGTACACACAAATACCAGTTCCATCTTACACCGTGTAAATATGTAATTCAGTAATTCAGAAGATGAAAACAGAGGAGCTGCTGACATCTTTGAGTCCTTTTCTGGGTGTGTGCCGGCTGTGTGGCCTGGAAATAAAAGAGTGTGTGTTGATGCGACGGAGACGAAGGGAACAGACAGCTGCTGACTCCTGCTTGATCTGGACAGTAATCGCCACGGAGACGGGCGGTGTGCTGTGTATGCTCATGTGTGACTGTCGATATGTGTGGACAGAGGAGCTATTTTAAAAGCCGGGACAAACGCGCATCAGACAAATTTACAGCCGTGTGGAGATAAAAATAGGCATCAAACACGCAGTGGTGTTTTAGGAGTCGTGGGTAATGCTGGAGGTTCATACATGAATAAGCCATTAGTGAGTCAGCCATGGATAAACAGCATACATTAACCTGAGCGACTGCTCAAAGTAGGACATCAATGTGAGGATTAGCTGCATCTCTGAGGCTCAGCCACACTCACTGTGTGATTTGATTCAGTTTTTCTTCTTCGGGCTGACCTTTCACCTTTAGTCCGGCGTGCCCTTTGACCTATAATCCAGTGAGGTCACAGGCATAAATATCAATTTCTCATGAAACGAGAAGATATCTGTAACCTTTACAAGGTAGTCCTGCTCCTTAGAAGATGAAACCTTTTAATTTTACTTAATTTTACACCTCCATTTGTAAACGCACAGTGATCATTGAAGTACAGATATGAACACAAAAAAATATGGTAAATGTAAAAAAACAAACAAAAAAACATGAGATGACTCAAATATGCAAAGCCTAAACTGTTTCCTTGATGCTTTTTTTTGTTGTTATGGATATCTGACCTGTATCAGTGATCAATATGACTCCCCTGACCAAACTAAACAGCTATGCATTAGCTATGCATCTTGAGTTTAGCTGACTAACTCTGCAGGTCTCATCCTTCATATGAATCCAGCCTGGACGCTAGAATTTGTAGAGCAGGTCAGATTCCTCAAAGATATTTCCAGGGATGAGCAACTAGAGGATAGAGTTTGTGAGGAGAAACTTAAACACAAATGCTCAAAAGTGAACCTAGTGGATTTAAACCTGGTGGATTGACATCAAGAAGGTGATGAAGAAAGCAAAAGTATGTTTCTTACGAAATCCTTTAACTGTTTGTTCTTTGCACATCTAGAGCTACAATTTTTATCCAATCATGTCTGCAGAAATTTGTGAAGGGTTTTCTGAGATATTAATATTTGAACTTTCTGAAATTACAATTCATCATAAATACCTTGAAGAAAAGCATGGACCTTTAAAGTATGATGCAACAAGCCTTTAATCATCACATGTTGTGTCCACTCAGATGAAATATGGTGAACAACACACTATTAAACTAGTCCATCATCATTTTACCAGGAGATCGATTGAGCTGAAATGATTAGTCATTCAAAATGTAACAATCTATTTGCCTGTAAAGACAATAAATCGTGCAGTAATCCAATCGATATCTCACTACAACAGAAAAACAACTATTAAAGACACATAAAATCACCCTGCATGTTTTTGACTTGGCACCAAGAGAAAAACAGGAACTCCAGTCCAAACAGAAAGGTTTGGATTCAGAAACTTAAAGCAGAGAGATGACAGTGCAAACCAGCCCTCCCCAAACCATGATGTAATGAAATATTTAAACACTTTACAGAAGGAGATAATCCAAACTAAAACACGCATGCTTCTTTGATTAAAAACACACTGTGTTTCCCAATTGGTTTACCGTTTAATTAGGATCCTTTCTAATGTATTCAGCTCATTATGCTACACACCCAAGATCCCCTAAAGCCCTCTTTAAGATCCTCAAAGTGATGTGGGGACCTCTGCATCCTGATGCACAAAAATAACTCGAATCTGCTTGCAAAACCCGCCATATTACACAAAAGATGCTGAGGTAAAAGTGAGATGAATCCACCTAGATGGGTCTGACAATGGACTGCACGCGCACAGAGGCCAGGCTGGTTTGCATGCTACACCTTCACCATCATCACCATCATCACCATCACCGTGGCCGAGACTCAAAGCGTTTGGCAAAAAATGACAATAACCTACAAACGTATGACAGACTTACATAACAGGGGACTGTGTAATTACACTAATGGCACGCCGGACACGCACACAATCACACTTGACACACACACACACATCACCAATATCTCGTCGCCGACGGGCACACGACTCCTTTCATCAGATGTACGTCAAATTAATTTGACCTCATGTCAAAATTTAAAAAAACAAAACAGGACCACGAAGGAATTAATTCATTGCACGTAATTAAAGAGAAATACAGCAGATATATTCAAATGCAGCAGATATATTCCAAAATTAAGCAACAGGATTCCGACATGATAATAATATGCGGAACGAACGGCAAATTAACCGTTTCTACCCTTTCGTCATTATCGTCAAACGTTTAAAAACGTAATATCTATATTTATCTATATATTATGTAAATATAATAAAGCTTATTCCCTATATTTTTGCAACGGCTCCTATTCTGTGAAATAAACCCTCCGTGTCATCTTGAATTTAGTCCTCTCACCGTTTCTCCAGCAGATTCCGACACGCTCCTCGACGGCGGCTTCTCACCGTTGCCCAGCACCGACCGAGTGCGAGGAGACAGCTGGCACCGCGCGAGCCGCAGATGCTTCTTTGCCAACGGTCCGCGAGCAGCCAATCAGGAGCCGTTCAATCCTGATCGACAGGAACGCTGACCAATGGGAGTGCAGAGATTTTCGTAGAGGGGGGTCGCGTTCACCAAGGAGACAGGGGCGTGTCTTTTGCCTCCAGAGACGTGCTGCATTCTAATACTGCCGGAACGATGGCTGCCCACACAGACGGTTGATATTTGACCTGAGTGATTGAAATTTCACTTCCCATACTATTCAATATTTGATTTAACAAACTATCCATTCATTACACTATAATACATATCATATACAGACCTAAGGTATTTGGTCTATGGTAAATTATAAATAGTCTATGGTTTTGGATTGTGGTTGATTTAAATATAACCACTGAATCATTTTGATCAATATTAATACATAACACCGTTAAGATGGTTTAACCATTTGACATAGTACAATAAAACAGGCTATTACTTAAATGTATACGCCAACTCTGAAATCCATAGGTAAGCCGTTATAGATATCCTTGTTACAAACATGTAAACTGATTTTAAAACATAACATGAATAAAAATGTATCTGTTGTTCTACAGCCTCATTTGTGCTTCTCAATTTCTTCAACTATACTCTCACCAGCAAACCAGAAACACTGAAGCAAATAGTATTTCTGACCCAGTGCACCTAAACACTCCAGTCTTTTTTTAAGCCCCTGAAGGCCACAATATGGTGCTGAAGAGTCACAGCATGGAGACAAGAGGCCTCCTGATTTGGCAGCCAGGCAGAGTGCTGCTGTGCTGGGAATTCAGAGGCAGAATTAAAAGAAGCTGATCTGTAAGCCAATCAAATCAGACTCACCCCAACGCCTATAACATATGACTCTCAAAGCTTTCGCAGGAGATATTTCATTCTTATTTTCTATGCAAAAAATCCAAAACAGACAAGATCATTTAGGATGAATATTTATGCCACAATTTGATCTGTCATTCAGATTACCGTACACATTACACTGAAACCTATAGTACTGTCCAAGCTATTGAGCCACCTGTTATCTATTCATATACTGGCAAGAAAACTGGTGCAAACATGAAAAAAAGTCCTGTATACAAAGCCTCTTTCTTGAAGACAGAGAGCCATTGAAGTAATTCTCACCTTTAGACTTTTTAACAATCTGACGGTTACTGTCTGACACGGGCTGAGTTTTGGTCACGGGGTCCAAGGTGTGAATGGCTATTAAACTGCCAAGGAAGGAGGGACAATGCTGCATTGTGGGAGCTTGGAAGGTGATACCTGTTTAGAATTGAGGAAGCCTTTCAGATAAGAGGTGAAATGTATTCAGGGCCTAAGAAGTCCTGCTGCCTTTGCTCAAACCCTTAAGATTAGCTTTGAAAAAGACTATTTGCTAAGTCGTCTGTTATGTGTTAACAGAACATTGGGTCATCCCTTGAGTTGTTAGTCATGTTTTAACATTCCTTCACAAAAATACATATTTTTTCCTTAAAATTCAAGCAGCTTCTGAAGCATTCAATACTGCTTCTGAAGTGCAAGATGTGAAGAAATAAATGACTCCCCTTGAGCACTGGTTCTCCACATTTTGACCACAGACAGATGAAAAACTGCTGAGCGTTACTGAGCCTGAGTCACGTAAGCAAAGTTTGTAGAAACCTAAACAAAAGCATAAAAACTGTCATGAAAAGAAAAAAAAGATGTTACAGAGATACCAAACCAGGCCTTCGCACTGACTTTGAGTAAACTGGAACACAGGTAGCTAACACAGAATCACAAGAAACAGTCTTTTTATTCACGATTCATTTCTTACATTGTTCAAGTACAAAGTTAAAATGCCTTTTTAATTAGTTCATATTCATACAAGAGTAAAATAATAATAGTGCCTCTCATTACTACGACAAACTTAAATACAGTCATTGTAAAGACATAATTGATTTAAAGTCCTAATAATATATTTTTCTTATTTTCAGATAAAGATTTAGCACCTTTTGAAACACCACCAGGTCCCCCTTTTCCTAAAAGCTCATCTTTCATTTAATCCATGAGATGAGTGTCTGCATGCGCCACAGCATTGTATTTGTAGGTGTTGCATGTGTGTTTGCGTGTGCCAAAAACAGTGTTTTGAGTGTTTGTCTGGAAGTGTATCAGTGTTTAAAACAGCGCATCACTCAGCCTAAAAGCTGTCGATAGGCGAACACAAACATCATCAGCGTGTCACCCATCGTTTAGAAATGTCTGACGCTTTTCCTCGTGCTTTAGTCCTGCTGCGCTCTCAGGCTGAGCATGTGTTGAAACGACACAGCTGGGAATAAAATCGGGATGAAATCATCTTCTTGTTTGGTTAAATTGAAATATTTACATAAATTCAATTTAGCTATTTTCTACTTATTTAGTAGGTATGATTTTCTTCCACCACGTGTATCAATATCAGCCTGTTTTTTGTTTAATGAAGGGTCTGCTTTCAGATTTAGCTGCTGTTTGTGATGAAGGCCTATCAGTCAATCAATTTAGTCAATTTTCTTTATTAATTTGGGTGCTAACTGCAACATAATAATGCCCCAGTCTGCCATAAAGTTGCTATAATCCTTTGTGAAGTACTGGACTTGGAGCTTTCATCAGGCTGGCTTGATAATGTGGTTAGTTTTCAGGTATTTATTCTATAATTGCAATAGATCTGATTTAGCTGTTAATCATCCAAACAAGGGACCATCAGATATAGTTGTGGTGAAAATAAGATTTCTGGATCCATCCCTGCCTGCATGTTGTCATGCAAGGAAAATTAATGAATACCAGTATCAATACCAGCATTCGGCTTCATGTTGGTCCAGTGGTTGTTGAGCTACTGAAGTCACTTGTCAAGTACAGAATACATGAAACCAATTTAAAAGAGTCTGCAATCTCTCTGATTACCTTATGAGTCTTTAAAATATTCTAAACTCTGGATAGGACACAATGAGGTTCAGAAAGTCCAAAGAAAAATCAGTTATGTGGCATTTCAACTCATCTCCAGTCTGAGAAAATGGTGCAGCTCATCGTTTCAACAGTTTCTTCTGGCATTCTTGGGTACAATAGAACAAGTCACTATACTAACTGTAATATATGCTTTCTCTAGCCTCTTTCCCTCCCTTCTACAGGCTGAGACTGAACTGAACTGAGCACCAACCTGAAACAATACACACACACAATAACAGATTATTATTGTAATTATTATTACCATATTATTATTATAATTACGCCCTAATCTAACATGGAATCAGAGATTACACTGACTGACTGACATGCAGCACCTGGGGGTGGTGGTGGGGGGATGTTTGGAGGGGGTTCAGTTGGGCAAAGAGGGTGACAGGATGTGGGAGGGTTTCGGGGAGCACCAAGCGGCGCAGGGTGATGATGTCACACCCCGCAGCACCGTGGGAAGCCTGATGGCAACAGGCGGCCGGCAAAGAACACAGTGTGTATGCATGTGTGTGCTGATGGCGTGTGTTTTTGAAGCGTAGCGGGCGGGAAGCGTGAAACGTGGGTTGTCCAGGAATGAGCGCGTGTCTGTGATATCGACCTGCGAGGGCACTGTAAAAAAGAGCAGTTTAAAAAGCACCTGAAGGGTTGGTTGTATAAACTGAGAGTAAACATGACGGAAAAAACCTCGAACCTGCTGGTTTGCTGTTGGCTTGAGAGACTGTTTGTGCTGTGTGTGTTTGAGAGGACGCGTGTCAGCATAGACTGGGTGTGTCCAGTTGTTAGCTGGTTTTCTGAGGAAGGTCAGAGGGTCGGAAGGCTTCCTGGAAAGGATGGTCGTCTGAGGACCACAAGCACCAGACTGAAAAGTTTTTCTCAGCCCTGTGTAGATACACCTCTTATCAGTACATGGAGACCTCTCAGTGCTGAGAGTGTATATGTAGAAAACCTGCCTCATTTAATGAGAAGTCGCTCTTTTTGCTCATTTACTGTGACTCAGAGTCAAGCAGCGGCTGGGTTTGACCCGGCGCTGTGAGCAAAAGGCAGAAGAAACACCTACAAACAGGTCGTCAAGTTGTACCAGTGTCAAAGGAGGAAGAATGTGTAATTTAAACAGGGTCATCTGTTTCAATCGTGTGAAGTAGAAAAACCAGCGTAGTGCGTAAAGGTTTGCCTTGTTTCAGTGGGCATCGCAGTAACTGAAGCACAACGTGGATTCTCCTACGAAGCAAAGTGGGAGCACGACTCCTACCGGGCCGGTGGGCTGTTCGCACCGGCCTAAAAAAGTGCATTTACCGGAAACCGAGGCACAAGAGAAGCTGCACCACAAAAGGAGGGGACATAAAAATGCCGCGAGGAAGCTGCTCAACTCCTGCAAAAGTCTTCCCTGTTTTATCTGAACGCTGCTCAGACAGTAGCTGGCAGAAATAATCCTTAAAGATGAGTAAAACGTCAGATTTTGGACCGAAACGCTGCTTGAAACTCGTGCTTGAAATATGCATGACAGAGAACATGGTCAGTGCTTTGGTTTGAAAAAAAGGTTTTAGATAGATGTTAGCTATGAATCCAAAACTTCACATCTTTACAAAAAGAGCTACTTAGAATAGACTGAATTTTACTTAAAATGTCCTTTTGGACGTCTATAAAAATGTTTGTTTCTTTAAAAATTAAATACAGTTTAGTTGTCTCATCGCCATACTTTAAACACATTTCAGTGCTGATAATCTCTTGGAGTAAATTGTGACCATGAATATTGAAGATGTGCATCGTCATCCAAAATCCATAAAAATTTCCAGCTAATAACTCACTGATAAACACTTTGTTCAGCATTATGTACTTAAATAGGAATATTTTATTGTTGTAATCTATATTTATATTTTAAGTCTATTAGATTCTTTACAGTTTGTTCACTGTACATTTTTATATATAAAAAAATTCAAATATGCCTTAAAACTGTAGTGACAGTTTGAAATATTTAGGCATTACTTTGGTAAGTCTATATTTTAAATAACAGGGTTAAAATTAAAAAAGGTTTAGTCCTGATTTTGGTTAAACTCACCTCCAAAGATTATTTCTAGAACCAGAGTAGCTCTTCCTTAAAGACTTTTTAGATATTATAATTTGACATTCACACTAAAACGGCTTTTATATATATTTTCTGAGCACTATAACCTTAGCTTGTCCTTTTAAGCGTTCGCAGACACAATGAAAACTCTGCTAGTTTGGAAAAATCCACCTCTTCTGGCTGCATTTTTGCCTCTACCTGCTTATCATTGTCTGGTTTTAACTTCATAAGGGAAACAAATCTGCAGCGACTGAAACGACCAGAGACCTCCAAGGTCCCCAAGAGCACCAAAATCTGTATAAGTGTTGTTGAAGTTGCACCCGGTGGGACTCTTATCACAGCCGTATCAGCACCACAAGCATTAACTGGTGTGTGTGTGAGTGTGTGTGGTTTTTGTATATCATTGTGTTCAATGCACTGTAGTCCATCAGTAGCACTGTCGCTAAACATGAGTAAAGATAAGTGTTACAGCTCAGAAGGATTCATAGGTGTGTTGATGTATTCAGAGAGATACTAAAAACGCAAAAAAGTCCGGGCATCTCTGTTAAATCTTGCACACCCTGGACTGAACTCCAGCTGTCGGGAACACAGTAAAGCCAGAAGACATCAATTTCAAGGTTGGACAGGAAGTGTGTGAATGACGTTGTACAGTACAGAAACCCCTGCACCTGCATGTGTTACAAACCAGCAAGGTAGCACCAAGGGACTAAGGTCAGCCAGGGGTCTACGCGGGATCGAGGGAAGCAGTCTTTAACATTGTGTGTGTGTGTGTGTGTGTGTGTGTGTTTATGTGTGAAAGTCCGGTCTGTGTCATCTTGCATCAGCCAACCTTCACGTACTAGCTGTATACTTTTTGTAGCATCAGTGTGTGTCTGTGTGGGACTAGTTGCAGGCGAAGTACTCCTTGAGCGGTGCAAAGAGGTGCCTGATGACGGGGACGCTCCAGGAACGGCCCAGCAGCCTCTGCCTGGCCAGGCGACTCATGTTGGACACGTCGGTGTAGTGGACGGGGAAACCAAACACCCTGAAAAACACCAGAAAAACCTTTAAATCATTTTCTCATTTCAAGCAGAAATATGCTTTCCTCCATCACAACGCCAAATATTGTGGTTTAAGTCTAAACGGTTATTTAAAGGAGTCTAGGAGCAGCTTTCCAGATTCTTGAAGGACGTCCCAAAGCTCTTCTCTGGATGTTGCTGCTGCCTTTGGCTCCGTTCTCTGTCATATAATCCCACACTGCTTCGGTCATGTGGAGCTCCAGCTCTGGAGGATCCATCCCTCCATCAGAGATGCTGGTTTTCAGTCCACTTCTGGTTCCTCTGGCAGAGCTCAGCCTTTCTTCCCTTTTTCCTTCCTCCAGAAATGGCTTCTTGACAGCCCCCCTTCATGGAGAGCATTTCTGATGAGGCTTGGGCCAACAGGAGACGATCAGCTGGAGGTCCAGATGCAGCTCTCAGCTCCTGTGTCACGTCTTTGCTGGATTTGTTCCTCTTTCTTAAGGACATCACTTTCATGTCCGGATAAAACTCTTCATATTCAATAACAAAGATGTGGTCTTGATGGAATTTACGTCCCAGTTATCACTCTAAAAGTCACAGGTTTTGTGTTGTAATCAAAGAATCTCAAATCAAATAAAGAAGATTTGAAGGGTTTAGAAATAAAGAATCAGATATTGAATTTCTTGATTAGTGTGTGACTAATGAAGAAGCAAAAATGGAAAGGTTCCTGTTCCTGGCAATCCGTTTTCAAAGAATTATTAAATCTCATGTTTAACCAATCGGAGGGCAAAACGTCCCTCAAAATCCCAGTTTTATTTTTCTGTAATATCCACTGGAATTTCAGGGGTAGATTGATCATAAAGGGTTGAAGAAGCCATTGGCTGCTCATAATATCAAGATCAAATTGATTATGAAACCTTTTTCAAAGACCAAAAGTGTAATTCAAACAAAAGGAGGCACAAGAAATACAGAATGATTCAGAAATCTACCTTTCCATCTCGGTACTCCAGAGGATGTCCTCCTTGTTGTCCATGTAGACGGGGAAATGCTCGTCTTTCCCCTGCTTCACAGAGTTGGAGCGTGTTGTTATCGTACGCAACTTCTCAAACTGGAATTAGCATCCAAAGCCAAACACACGCAAACACAAACAGATACAAACAAACACAAACACCCTTTTTTTAATCCTACAGCTAATCTCCTTTGGCACAGCAGCTGCCTATAACACAAAGTGTTAAAAGTTTACATTTTAAAAGACAAACATAGATTCATATTTCTAGCTGTTGGATATCGCTGTTTTACACAGTGCCTGAATAGTCAACACAATAATCTATTGTAAAAAAAAAAAGAAGAAAAAGAAAAAGTCTCATGGGAAATAAAATTAGACAAGAAATAAACAATAGAAAACAGTCATGCAGTCATACACTCACATGCACACACACACACACACGCACACAAAGCTGGATACCTTAGCGGTGCGGCCATGCTCCAGACACTCTTGTAGGTCCAGCTTGTCATTCGCCATCGGTGTCAGAGGCCTGCAGGAGAGCAGAGCTCGGTTTAGAGCTGCATTTCTACACAAATCAGGAATAACCCCTGTGTGTGTTTGCTTTGTATCACCTGGACATGCCTGGCAGGTTGCCCCAGAAATAGCGAGCGCGGTGGGCAGCAGAGACCTCCTTGGCATCGATCATCACTGGGTTACACTGAGGAAGAGCAGAGGGGTTACCTCCTGTTCTACTAATATGAGCAATATGAATCAATATATACCTATCAATATATAATATATGTTTCTTTATGTTATCATCAAACAATGAAAACATATCACTAAAATAGAAAAAAAGGGCTCCAACTAGACAAGAATAGAGGTAAAATATTAGATATTTACTGAATTTGGTAATAGGAATATAGGTTTCATGAGGCTTCAAAAATATAAATAATCCAAAATAAACTCAACAGGAATCAATAATTGTAACCAAATAACGGGTAATGCGTAACAGGTCAGCTTTTGTGAGTTTTTCATACCTCTAAAAAGCGGGAGATGTCCCGTTTGTCACTGACTCCCATGGCGACCACATTCTCGAACAGCCAGAAAAACGGCCGCTCGTCGCCTGGTTTCGGTCGGGCCTCGTGGAGCAGGCGGTAAAATTCGAAAAACAACCGGCCGGTTCCCTCTGCGAGAAGCCACAAACAACATTCACTTGAGATCCATCCTTTGGTCTCGGATGGCGTTTGCCCCCCCTATCCTCACCATAAAGGCCTTTCCTGGCGGGGTTGACTATTGAGAGATCATTGCAGGGGCTTCCTCCAATCACAAGATCAAATGGTCCCCACTCCTCAATCTGACAGAGGAAGCCCAGCAGGGGTTAAAAACCAGTTCAGCGACAGGTGGACGGAGCACATGGGAAGACTTGACTTACATGCTTGCGGGTTACATTGCGCACGTCTCCCACGTACATGATGCGGCCCTGATGTCGAACAATGCCGACAGTGATGGAGTCTTCACACACTTCGGAGGCCACGTATTTGTCCACCTGGATGCCCAGATCTTTCAACACCAGCAGACCTGGATGGAGAAGATACAATTACATCCTGCCCGGAGAGGTGGGTTTTTGCTTTGTGTTCTCTTTTTCAAAGTGTATTATCTTTGGTTAGTTTTGGTTTTTGCCTTTGAGCTTCTAGTGTTTTCTTCACAGCTCATCATTCTTATGTTTTCCATGTTTTCTGTTTGTTTTCCTCACCCTGGTTTCAGTTTCCGGCTCTTTACAACCAAAGTCTCCTCAGTGTTTTTCCATTTTGCCTCTCTCCCTTCACCTGTGATCTAACACAGCTGTGTCCACTCACTAATCCCCCTTTCAGGTTTCCTCCAGCTTCCCACCTTCTGTCCGTCTCTCTGCTGTTAGTTATTCACATCTCTGTTATGTCTCTGCTTCCCTCGGCTTCTCGTCCCCTTTCAGGTTATCACCTGTGCTCATTGTTCAGACTTTGTTTCTCTTTAGCACTTTACATTTGCCCCGCATTGTTTTGGGTAATCAGGGCTGGCCACATTTCCCCCTCATATCCCCTTAGACCTTAGGTCCTCCTGCATGTACTCCATGTAACACATTATTTAATTTACCTTTAATGCCAAAAGTATTACATTTATGTGTTTCGAGACCTGGTGCTTCATGTCAAAGTTTGCTTAAAAAACAAAACAATCGACCCAGTTTTGTTTATAGTAAAAATGTGCAGAAAGTATTGTTTACATTTTCTTTACAAATGTTTTTTTCCTCTGCATTTTGTTCGTCAAAAAAAGACTTCAAATATAAATAATTACTATTTTTTTTATCTTCAGGCTTTATGGGGTTAATCTTTTGGTTTGAACAATCCAAATACTTTTTCAAACTTCATAATGAGCCAAATTTTGTGTCAGTTACTAAAAGCTTCATTGAGACATTCCTGCAACTCGAAATATTTGTACCTGTGGCGATGCCGTCAAATAGGGAGAGGACTCTGATTGGCTGCCTCTTCTCTGCAGCCACTGGTGGATACAACTTGGCAGGCTCCTGAGAGACAGTAGAAAGAAACATGAAGCCAGTCTGCTCTTCTTTACACCCACATTGGGGAGGAAAAACATCCATACTTAAACGTAAAGGACAAACTATGAATAACACAGACTGATCCCGAAATTGTACTTTTTTGCATTTTTACACTTCACAAATATTTTTCTCCAACTCAAATTTACTGCTACTTATTTAGCATCTGTGAGATTCATGATTCTCATCCTAATCTAATGTGCCTCGCTCTGATGGAGAAGAAAACGTACGAAATCCTGCTCGTGGTTGTTGGCGAAAAAGTGCTGTAGTCTGCAGGGCCAGTCGTCCCGTCGCCGCAGCAGCCCGTAGGCGCTCCGGGGGCCGCACATGTAGCAGTTCCAGGGGTCCTCTTTGATGGCAGCCGCTGCTGAGCCCGCTCCCACCAACAGGTCCACGCACTCCACACAGAAACACCTGCAGGCACAGCACAGTTTATCAGGAGCCAGGGCGTTTCAGTAACATCTGAGGAAAGGTTTTTAACTTAACTTCCTACGACCTACACATTTCTGGCTAAATGCTCCATGATACTGAATTAAGTGCAACTGGAACCTGTGAACACTTCCACCCATATGTGGTGGTGTCAGAAGACAAAAACCCCTTTCAGAGTATTTCAATATGGTGGAAAACACCCATCTGGATAATGTGTCTAAAATGTAAGCCAAACCAAAGCTGGGCTCTTCGGAGGTTAAGGTCCAGTTTCTATTTCAAATGGTTTATTGTGTCTTCTAAGTGTTTCCTGTAGTTTTGGTGATTTTATTATCAGGTATTTGTCTTACATTTTAACTGAGTTTCTGGTGTTTGTCTTGCGTGTTTCTCTTGCCTGTATGTTCTTAGTTTGTTTGCTGTTCCTTGTTTCTGGTTTCATGTCCTGAGCCATTGTCTCCTCTGTGCTTTTCCAGTCATCGCCTCCACTCCCCTTACTGGTGCTCATTATCCTCGGCTGCCTCCACTCTCTAATCAAAGAACCAACTCTGTATTTAAGCTTTCTCATTTTCCTCCTTCTTTGTCAGATCACTGACCTTCTTCTAGCTTCTACCACCACTTAACAGAGGGCATACTTTTTAAAAAATCCTTTTATTCAGGGAGATCAGCTGTGAGTGCAGCTTATTTTAAGCTGAGAACAGAAAAGATTTAAAGACGGAAGCTGATTTTGACAGTGGAGAGGATGGATGTTTGGGTTGCTGTCCAATAGGCAGATGATGGGCGTTCATTCATCCAATGGAGGAACCAGATAGAGCTGACAAGGCATATGTTCATGATTAATATTAAAGAAATTAAAAACCTCAAACAAAAGAAGGGCTTAGAAAGATGTGAATCGAATAGAGGTCTCTAATGGTGGGACTCTGAGTAAGGCTTTAGGACTAGGTCTGTTGTTGGTCTTTTGGCTCCCCCTACAGTTTTATAAACCATCCATCCAGCCATCATCCATACAGCTTAGTAGTTGTCTGACTCAGTTAACCACAAAGAGGGCCATCAATCAGACTTCCAGATGTCCTAGTTAACTCTTTTTTTCTGCAAATGTGAAATCCAAAACCTCATCTGCCATCTGAAGACGCCACAGCATGCAGATCCAAGACTAAAGAGAGAGGCACTGACCTACAGCAGTTGTTGTTGCCACACATGAGCACTTCCCTGCCTCCACAGCAGATGGTGCAGTAGGACTGGTAGCCGTCGTCGTCGTACTGGTAGGCGCACTCCAGGAACGAGTTCTGCAAAGGAACAACACAGGAGCAGAGATCCTGAAATTCAGAGTGTCTTTTCCGTCTTTGGTTTGTTTAAATATGCATGTAAAACGTCTCAAATCAGCTGTGTTTATTCCACGGGGATAAACCAAGAAGAGAGCTCTTCAAATGTAAAAAAACAAGGTTTTCTTTCTTATTGCTTTCTAATCTGAATCAGTTTAATTGTGGATTGGCTTTTAGGCAATACTAGACCATTACAGCACCACCACTGGTGCCAGTAGGAAAACATCAGCTGGCTGTTGCTCAAATGAACCCCAGAAACTCTCGTCTTTCACACTGTGCTATCGCTGGGATGTCTGATTAGCCTTAAATTTAATCTGTAGCCTAGCAACATCCTCATACATACAGAAAAAGGGATTAGGAACTATGTTAATGTACAAGAGGAATACGGTGTCCTGGTCCATGGGGCTCCGATTTCAACCCCACAGAGCCAGTCTGGGTTTTACATGAAGGGACAGAGGACACACAGAGCCACAGCTGTGAAGAGCTCTCAGAGATGCTCGGAAATGGCGCTTTCAAAAGCTGCTGGCAGCTAATTTTGACATGATACTGAGTAATTAGTACAAAAGTATCCATTTCAAAAGCATCCCACTGCACAGTGTAGAAAGACGACATTATAATCAACCCCTTAAACACATAAAAATCAGGGCCGAGACTTCAACACATTAATTCTGATTAATTAGTTACAGGGAAAATAACACATTAAAAAACATCACATATAATCGCTTCTCTGGCACAGAAGCAATGCTGTTACTGCTGTGCCAGCCTGATGGGCGGTGATAATGCATCCAAAGCTAATTTGCCAGCCATGAATAAGATGCCCAGGATGCATTGAAGGTCATAAGCGCAGAATGAATTTGGGTACTGGTTTTACAGTGAATTAATTTGCAGAGTGACGCAGACTGAAGGGATGGAGGAGACGCAGATTTGCTTTAAAAATTTCTAGAACTTCATATTCATAAAGGATAATAAAAGTTGCTTTTTTTCCATTGAAATGGTTGTAACACCATTTTACATGCAGTATATTGCCAATTAATGCCCGATATATAAAAGTATTCTTATCAAAAGGGCAAAAACTTTTACTAAGAAGACACTATCAAATTAAAGGATCTAATTTAACTTTTTAATTACGTCCCATCTGGAATAAACACTCCTAAAAATGTCAAATTAGAAAGCGATGAATTCATCATCATAAACGGGTCTATAATCAGACTCCAGAAAGAGGAGTTTCTTACTTTGCAGCCCTGGCACATTGCTCCTACAAAGAGAGGATGCTCCAGAGAGATGTTGAGGCTTCCACAGGAGATGCAGATATCTGAGCAGAGGCAGAAGGACAATGCAAACATTTTGATTAGGGAATTGCATTTCAGTGAGATATGCTGCCAAAATATGAAAACGGTTCCCTCAGTTCAGCAAACAAAAAGAAATAAGATCAATTTAAACTTCGCAGTGAAGCGGAGGTCTGCTTGACTGAGCATCCACAGCCAGACAATAATCCCAATTACTCTACTGGGCGTGCTTAGCTGGTAATAGTCATGTTATGGCCCAATAATGTGTGAGAATTAAATGAAAATGAAAGCATCTCTTGGGGGAGGAAACAAACCATGCTCAAAGATTATGGCTTCATTGCATCGTTTACACTTAACAGGTTACAAGAGCGGAGTAAAATATGTCTTCTTATTTAAAACATTCCTCAAATGGTGATAACTGAATGACTCCAGATGTTTTTACCTTCTATATTCCTGGTCTTCTTCTTGATCTCTTGTATCAGTCTCTCTGGAAACCACATCACATGTAGAAAAAAATGTATTAAGTGACATCTGATTTAAATTTTCTTGTACGAGTTTGGATGTGTTTTGGGAGCAGGTGATAAATATCTGAAGCTGAAAAAAAGCAGCGTGCGTTTACCTCTGGTGCCTTCATCGATCACCTCTCTGATCTTTGCTTTTTCTGCAGAGTTCTTTCGTGGTTTCTTCGTCGGCGGGGGTGTGTACGCTGCCTCAGGCTCCGCCCACATCTCTGGGTACACTTCCTTATATGGATTTTGTTCCTCTGTGATGCAAAGGCTTAACATTAGCATATATTTTTGGTGTTTTAAACCCCTTCAAACAAGAATTTGTCTCTCTGTTTTGCCCTCAAGAGGCAACTAACAAACCCATGTTACAGCAAGTCTTCAGGTTATAGGTATTTGTTCTAAATATACATTGCTTTTAAAATAAGATAAGTAATGCCACATCTTTTGTTCACAGTAGCATTTCAGGACTCTTTCTCTCCTCCCTGTTGTGTGTGACCTTTATCCCAAAAATCAACAACTGGGATCTGGCAGGATAACTGTCAGAGCTGTCACTTATGACCTGTGGGTGTAATGGGACACCTTCACTTTGTCAGAATTAAACACTTTTAGTGCTAAAACAGATTTGTTTCTGGATAATTATGTTATTAAACGCAACATAAGCCTGGGGAAAAAAAGTCATTTGCATCCTTTAGCACTGATCTGTAATAATAAAGTGGTAAATTTGTTCGGAGACAAGTGTTATTAGCCAATTATTTTAATGAATCTTTTTAAATTTACCTCAACGGCTCAACAAACAGGAGCAGGCAGGAGCGAAAAATGCCTCTGAAATGGGTTCCCTGAGAGTATAATCTCTTTGGAGGCAAAAAATGCAAATAGAGGTGCTTTTCCTGGTATCTGGGGGTTTACGCTTGGTTTTGGGTAGCTGTATCTAAAGACTCTCCGTGAGTAAAGTTAAAGTAGGTGGAGCACCAATACCATGTTACATCTAAGTGTATCTGGCTGACAGAGGCAGCAGCGGAAGGAGGCTATCCACAGACAGCCATAGTGGACTAATCTAGCTAATGTGTAACGCACAATAAGACCATTTCAATGACATCTTCCATTTCATTACTGCTCCCTATGCTCAGTGTGTCCTTACCAACTGCAAAACAGGGCAGGAAGAGGACAGATAGAAAGATAGTTGTCATGATAGTGCCAGGTTGTGGTGTTTGGTGGTTTTTCAGGTGAGGCTGAGCAGCCTTCAGACTCTTATATCCTAGTGCTGCTCGTTAAGACTCCTTTAAAAGGACCAGCGTGCCCTACCAGCTTTGCCCGCTCGACTCACTTTACCTGTTAGTGATCTGGTCCATTAGTTCCATCCTAATCTGGATCCGTTGTGCTCTCCAGCTTCTTTGTGCTTTCCTTGCCATGTTCAGTTGGTGATTTGGACACACAACTTCTACGTACCTGATCTCACCTGTGGATACTTTCCATCACTCTCACCTGCCCACTCGCCATAATCAGACTCAGAACTGCCTCGTCTGAGTCAGCATTGCTACCTCATCCTGGCTGAATCCTCACCTCGATCTCGTTAAACCCTATCTTTACGTACCCTCGTCTTTTTAAAGATGCAGAGTTTGCTCCACCTGGATTTAACTCCATAAACTCTGCCAGAAAAATGGTTGGAAATCTGTTTTGGGCTATTGCATTGAGGCACAAAAATCATCAGAGTCAGGGCGGTAATCATTAAGTGGTGCGGGTGGTTTTGAGTAGAGTCAATGTGGGACGTACCTTCTGGAGGGTCCAGTGCTTGGGGACCAGTGGGCAGGAAGCCGGTCATGGCCCACTCGATCATCTGCCTGGTCTGAAGATCCACCCCCTCCGCATCATCACTGGCATCACAGGAAGGAACTGGCCTCCCCGCCCTCACACTGGCCACCTACAAACAAAACACAGTTTGTTTTTTTATTTTGTTACACTGATAAGGTTCAACTTAACTGTCAGTAAAGCAGAAATTCCTCTTTGGTTTTCAGGTGACTCACATCAGGATTAAAACATGTAAAACAAATGCTTTAGAACATAGAAATAAGGCCCATTTTTACTTAGAAACACCACCCACAAATTATAGATTGCATGGTAGACTCATATGTTACCACTACCAGAGTGTGGGCAGAGCTGAGGAAGAGCACACCTACACATATGCCAAATACTAACCGTAACAACCATCATCCTTCAGATTTTGGGTTTCCTCTGAGAGATTTGAGTGTGTCAAGAGGAAGAAAGAAGCCTCAGATTATAGGCTGATTAAATCGTACTGAAAACCATCCACTCTTTAATGCGGAGTAGTTTAATCAGTGGATGTGTTACCTGTAGAGCCTCGAAGATGGCTTTACGGTACATGGACTGTTTGTTGTATGTTGGCTGGTGGAAGGCAGAGGAGAAAGAACTCAGAGGCATGAGCTTCTCCACACAAACCTGCAAAGTGAAACACAAAAGCCACAAATCATCTGAGGAAAGAACAATCTTTGAAACCTTCCTTAAGGTGATTCTCAGTGTCTAACACTGGCTTTGAGCAAAGTTTTATTCCAATGACGTCGTAAGAAAAAAGGATAAAAAACTTAAGGTTATCTTTTATGAAATCCATGAAAAAGTACTTGCTTAATCTCTGGTGAAATAAGGTAAAATATTGAATGACAGCAAGCAGCTTTTTACAAACTAAATAAAGCTGAGGGGATGTGATTTGAAAAGCATCACACTTTCTGTGAAGACACTCACCACTGAGAATTTGCCGTCACCAAACCACATCACCCAGCGAGTGCCGTCGGCAGCTCGACTCCGGCCGCTCATCCTCCAGGACACGATCCGGCCGGGCCACCAGGAGAAGCCTCGCAGCTTTCCAAACACCAGCGTCCCGATGCCAAAGCCCCGACCGTCCTGTCAGCAGGGCCAGAAAAGAGAAAAAAAGATTGTATGGGCTGCAGTAAATCCATTTCTTTTAAGTTAATGACAGTAACATTTAAAAAAATGAAAACATAGGACATTTATTTAGGATTAAATCATGTTTTTCTTTTGTTCAAACCAAATATAGATGATTGTTTTTTTCTCCTATAATCCTATAAATTTTTTAATTTCATTTCACCCCCCTCTGTGTGATAAAGGCCTAAAAATAAAAAGGCATTTTGATTCTCCGGCTCCTCAACAACTACAGGCTGCAACAGGATCTGAAGCTGTCCATCTTCATCGCCTTAAGGCATTTTAAACGCACTCTAAGGACAATGAAAAACCCTCCTCCATATTTCTAGCCCTTCATTCGGCTGCTTCTCAGCAGTTTATTTCAATCATTAGTATCTAACCTGTCTGCCGAATCAAGGCAGGCCACTCTTCAAACTGATAACTTGTGTTTTAATAAGATTACTTCTATATTGTAGTCACTAACAACACAGCTTATGTATTACTGAGGAAAAGCCAAAGAGCTGATAACTTGTGTTTTGATAAGATTAGAGCTGGAACCTTATCCTGCAAACTGCAGCTCTTAGTGTTTATTTTTTTATCTAATTCAAATAGATATAACTTTCAACTTGTTCTGGACTGGGAGACTTAAGAGTCTACTTTTATATATGCATTAATACCAAAGGAGTGACTTCTGATGTTGAAACTGCACCTTTTGTACATTTTCTAAGGGCTTCCAAACTGCAGCTTTGCAGACCTTTTCTGATTATTTATATTATACAATTTATATAAATTGACTTTGCTTTTGAACGTGTTGAAAATGATGGAAACAAGTTTATTTCAATTAGCTCTTTCATAACAACTCCTATTTTCTCTGAACAAAGCATCCTGACCTCTTGGACTCCCTTCTCGGATATAAAACAATTAAAAAAACAACAAACAGATGCATAATAAGCTCCGTGTGACAAAGACTGTGTGCAAAGGCATTCTGGATCTGCCTAAAACTCTCCAAGCTCCCAAACAAATGACAAGTTCCACAACAATTCCACCTGCACCAGTAAAGTGCTGCGTTTAACAAGAAACTCAAGTCTCAAACCAACAAGTCTTCTCATGTTCTTGCCCTTCAGTACATCTCAGACCTCTTTCCCCCTCTTTGTCTCATCCTGACATTTCTGCCTACAAGCGGCCGACTCCTCAGCCCCTCAGGACCCGACAACATGAAAACCCCCTCACAATCCACTGAGACCCACCTCTCACACTGGCATCATCTGTTTCAGTGCTGCTTTGGCTACCTTAAGTTAGAATATTTGGAGTCAGCTTTTGATTTAGAAACTGATCTGAACATATTTTCCTTTATTTTAGTAACAACTTTACATTCACATTTCCCTCTATCTCAGCATTACGAATTATTATGAATAATGAATTTATTGTAATGAATTAAATCAATATAAAAACATGAAAAATGTAATTAGAAATGTGCTTTTAGCCCTTTTTTGCTTGAATGTGCACATATTTTTAAGTTTACAACTTTTTTCGTCATAAATGGGACGAGTTGGTTTAAAGAGTTCTCCAATAAGAGCACAATTTAAGGCTGTAAAATTGTGTGATGAGAGTACATTTTTCTCTATTTTTTGCAGCACAGGTGACTCTCACCTGGTACTCCATCTCACTGGGCGTGGGCGGGTCTCCCCTGGCAACCGGCTCCGGCGTGACCGCGACCGTGGGAGAGGCGGGGTCCGTGTGTTGTTGTGAGGGGGGAGGAGCAGGGCTGGCTGGCTCCTCCTCTTTCTGAAAGTCGGCCTCTGACAGGTCGTCCATCATGTTTATCTCCGCTTCTCTGTACGCACGTCGCTCAGCCTGCAGACAGAGAGCGGCGGAAACCATGAGCATCAATTATTTATGCTGTTTGGAGCTCACTGTCTGCCCGTCTGCATTTTAAAGCAGAAGCTCTTCCTCGAAACGAATAGGCATTTTCTAATGTGAGGCCTAAACCAAGTCCAAAACAGCAGCTTCAGTTCTCAGAAGGAAGCTCCACAAACTCACGCTGAGGCTTCCTACACCAGCACTAACAGATAATGGATTACTCATTACACCTATTACGAGGTCAAATGTAGACATTTATACTTGTTTAGCTTTGGAGGATTTACTTTTTTGTGTTTGCTATTTGCCTGTTGAATATCATTAGTGCTGTGGTGGCACTTTACTTAAATTCAACCTTTTCAGTTCAGAATATCATAACATTAAATAATTCCATTCACTTCAATGAAAAAATACTAGAAGTGTGTGTTCGAAAATACTTGAGTCTTACTAACAAACCTATTGAGAAGCATACAGGCTTTGTGATATGTCTTACACTTTCTTCTTGCCCCATAGTCTTCATAGTTCACTTGAGGTCGATTTGAATTATTGAACAGGAAGATGCTGACATAACCAGCTGTGTTGTGGCAACGCACCGTTAATGACCGTTGAGGGAGATATTGCTCTAAAAGGACACATTTTTGGAATTTCCAAAAAGTACCACACAATTTTACAGACATGAGACTTTGGTTTAGTATGATGGCACCCCAATTCTTCTCCTGGTTTGTTAAATAAACTATAAAATGGGGTTTATATTTCTGTCTGTCCTCAGACCCTATTTTAGCTTCTGACCAATCATCTGTCATATCTGCTGCTCTCTGCCTGCCTTCTGCTGCCTCTAACCATATCTGACTCTCTTCACATGAGTCTCATCATCTATCATACTGTTATTGTTTTACCCCAGCTGGTCTAAATGCACACTGCTCGTAAATGATGCTTTATGTGCGTCTTTCCAGCTGATCCGCTGGCGGCTTTAGACCAAACCCTTAGTGACCCACACAGCAGGAACAATCCTTTAATTGTTCCTCTAAACAGGAAGTGACTGTGGCGGGGAGGCAGTTCAACGGGTGCATCTCAGAACGGGGAAAGGAAGACAAAGAGCGGGCACGTAAATAAGATTATATCATAAATCTGGTGAGTACAGCACAGAGAGACAGAAGTGCGCGGCACCAGAAAGGGTCGGTACTGAGTTACACTCACTTTGTGTACTTTATCATAACGCAGTACCTTTCAAACACGATTACACGGCAACAGTATTAAAATAACTGCCCTGAACTTTTACTTTCCCAGTTAAACATGGATGTTTAAAGTTCAGTGATAATATAAAACTGAGAAGGTATCGTGTTATCTCTTTATTACCGCTGCATATAAACATTTTAGAAAGTTAATGAGGCTGTTTAGTATATTTTAGGATTACTCATTCTTGACAAAACACCACACAGCAGAGGCAAAAATGAGTGTTTAATGTCTGAAAACCAGTGAAACTGTATTTATTTGTGCTCTCAGGCTCTTGTTGATGACTCAAAGCACTTACAACCACATTCACCTCGTATAACACTTTTTAGTGTAAGTAATCTTATAGGCTTTACGATTTCAATTGTTTTCATATAACCTCGACAAATCTCAAGGCATTTCAAAATCATCCATCCATTTTACAGGAGGGAGACCCAGACATCTCTATCCCCAGTAACACCCCAGTCCTCCTAGGGGATCCCAAGGCGTTCCCGGGCCATACAGGATGTCCTCTATCACAAAAGCACTCACCACCCAGTAGGATGTGCTCGCAAAACATCCATAAGGAGGCGATCAGGAGGCATCAAAACCATCTGCCTGAACCACTTCATGTGGCTGCTTCAATTCTTCCAGAGAGACGAGCTCTACCTCTAAGCCAGAGCCCGGTTCCAATCAGAAGGAAACCCATTTCATCTGCCTGTAGTCCTGATCTCTTTTTTAAATCACAGCCCAGATCTTGTGGTAATAACTGAGGGTTGAAACTAAGATGGTCAGTAAATGGAGAGCTTTGCCTTCACTGTAATCCAATGATTTGAAATCCAATCATAAACTAATTAAATTAAACAAATGAATGCGTTTGGGTAAAAAAGGGCAGAAAACCACATCTCATCTACATATAAAGTCGATCCTAAACTGCAGCAGCAGTAATGACTTTGTGTTTAAAGTAAAGCGGGATGTCACATGACACACTGTGAGCTTTGTACAGCACTGCAGTCGTCTTTAGGTCATGAAGTATTAGATCCTGCAGGTTTAAGACGTTTCCCTGCTCCACCAGTCCTGATTCACATCGATGCGCTGCCAGCAGGCATTTGCAGAGCTGAATTATCTTTTGAATAGATCCAATTTATCAGAATCAGGCGTGTTGAAGCAGGGAAACATCTAAACCCTGCAGGACAGAGGCCTTCAAGGACTGAAGTATCACTTACATAAACACAAAAAATTGAGTCTCACTAAAAAAAAATGGACACCCATAATCCATTTTATCTGTGGGCTTCCATAGATTTGACTCTGGAAGGAAAAGTGGGCAGTGAAAAGAAGCTTTTTGAGCATTTGAGGTAATGCATTCAATCGGTTTTCCCCTGGGAGAACACCATAAAGTCCTGGTTGACGCCACCCACAGGGGATCACAATATGTCAATAGATCAAACCCCAAAGATGACAGAAAAACAAAGCTGCGAGTGAAGCTCTCAGATGTTAAAAAAGGAACCAGTATTAAACCCGCACAGCTAGAATCCTGCAGCCCAGATGCAAAATCCCACGACTCCAGTGGAGCGTTTGGTTGACCTAAGAGCAGCGTTGGACTTTATGCCAGCTAAGCAGGAAGTTGTAATCTAACAACAAATCTGTGAGACAAGCTGTAGGAGAAAAAAAAAGACAAATCCAACCAAAGAATGGGGGAGGCCAAAGGGAAGAAATCGTAAAAAGGCAGAGTTTCGGGGTCACATCAGGGCTCTCCTCAGTTTGACTCCGAGGTGAGAAGGTTGCCCCTCCTCCCTCCTGTTGATCTCTGACCTCATAAAATCCTAATCAGCCTGTTACATGGATCGTTGACCCCCCCCCAACACACACACACACACACACACACACACACACCTACACACTGTAAGGGACATTCCGTGTGCCACTGTCACTATGCACATTTTCTGTTCAGATAGAATACTTTTTAGAGCAGATCAAAGCTAGCTGCTGGGTCAGATCTAGATCTTTAAGGCAAACATTTCTCTCCTAAAAAGCTTTAAAAGAAACAGGAAGCTCTCTGCTGTTGTTGTCTCACGTTGAGCAAAGTCCTTCTTGTGAAAACAGCTTGATCATTTTCCATCAGCATTTAGACTACCTTATCAGGGGAACAGGCACCAAAGTCATGCTTTCTGGATCAAACTGTGTTGCCTGGCAACAGTAACTCTAGAGGAAGATGTTTCCTGCACTCAGGGATGAGTCACAGGTGACAGATGGACGTGCACTGTTCAGCTACACACACACATGGATATATGATTGAGTATATAAATACTGTAGTGAGAACAGATTTGCTTGCATAGATTCAGTGTTGTTTTAATTGAACATTCAAAACTATAAACACTCATTTCCTTTGTGTCAAACCTAATTTCAAAAGAGCGTTTTGTGAAACTAGGTGAAAAGAAAGCTCAGTATTTTGCCAACTGTTCTGTTTTAAGACCACTAAAAACTTTAATATTTAGATTTCTGTAAATGATTGCTATCAAAATAAAGCCATGAGAGGTGTTAATAAAACTTCAAATCAACATTAAATAGACTGGATTTTCAGTGTGTCTTTCTCTGCAACTCCTAGATTGTTTTAGGGAGAAATAAAATCGGACTTTTTAGGCATTTTTCAATGCTGGTTTGGATGCTTTTGAACTCAAATTAAGATTTTCTAAGCTTCACCTGGGGGGTGTTTGACCAAAAAAGAAAGCCATTCAATTAGCATGATGAGCAAAAATATTCAAACATAAACAGATGAACCACAGAGTTCCAAAGAATAAAATTGGAGAAATGAGAGGAAACAATGGAAGAAACTATTTAAAAGACTTATCTGTTTGTCTTTTACTCTTTCTTTATCACCTGTCCAAACCAATGTAGTTTATGTCTTTGGAGGAGTAGCAGATCTTTGTTTTTCTTTATTTCCATATGAAAATGTGACTGGAAATTAGTGTAAAATGACGCATGTTGATGACTCCTTTGAAATCTTTGTTCTCGGTGGGAAACTGACATTATGAATACAGCTGTATTGAAGGCTAAGAGGGAGAAAAAGTAGCAAAATCTCAGTTTTTAAAAAATATCTTTAGAAAACTCAACTCTTCAAAGAGCATCTCCTATCCTAACTCTTACCCAGACCTCTGTACCCCTCTAATACTCTTTCTGTACTTCCCTCTCTCTCTTTGCTGTCACAAATTATTCTGATTGGGGATTTTCCTCTAGAGAACTTATTGTCATATTGATGAGAACTGTAACATTGTGTCTACTTTGTAAGTCGTTTTGGACAAAAGCGTCTGCTAAATGCATAAACATAAACATAACTTGGAAGAATCATAATATCGAGAGAAAAAGGAGGATTCAAAAGTTGGACAAACAGGAGGAAAAAGAAGCTGCTGGAACAAAAACTGTTTATTTCAAACTGAGTAAAAGTGCTGCTCTGACAAAAAAAAAACATCCGAGTTCATCACAAAACCAAAACCAGCCCTAAGGAGTCACAACAAGCATCTGTAAAGAAACTCTGCTGGTCACAGTTGAAAAAGTCAAATGGCACAATCAATTATTTTTGGATAAGCTAACTATACACAATCCATTTGAACTTAAAGAGAAACTAAATGTTTAATAGGTGCTGGTTAACATCTCTAATCCTAACCCAAATATTAATCAAACAAAACCAATGAAAAGGAAAAAATATTATCTAAAACAGAAACTACTAAGGTTTGTTCCAACCAGCGGTATTGAAACAGATTAGAAAGTTGTTTTGAGGAGCTCTAAAGTGGATGGAAACTCCTCCCCGATTGGTCAGTGGGTAT